AGGCTATCGCGTGGTTCACACCGAAATAAAAAATCGAATGCTGCTGTAGACAGCTGTGGGACAACTGATCTTGATTTGTTGTCGTCGGTTAAATTTAACTCGTGAATAAAAGTGACATTTCGAAAGTTACTTTCTACTCACTTAGAAATACCTAATCTTACATGTGACGGAATCCAACTTTGACATAAAGGATGAGACGTAAACAAACATGTCATGTAAAAATAAATGCTCCGAGACTGAAAAGTTCGAAAGTACGTTTGATTGAGCTGAATTTTTTGTCTATTATGACTCAATTTTATGTCAAAATTGACGCTCGTATATGTCAGTCTCAGAGCACCTAAATTTACATGAATTTTTCTAAGTGTGTATGTTCAAAAATCCCTGTGCTGTCGACCGGTTTTCGAGAAGAACTCAGCCACTGTTGTCAAAATTTAACTTCTTGTCTGCAGACCACGCGCGGATAGCATTCCATAACTTTCCATCTGTCAAATGTTAACCAAAAGTTAAAAGAATCCACCAAAATTTGGTTCAGAGCTTTAGTATTCCTCCTCAAATTGTAGCGTGAAGCGCGCAACGCGTTCGGTTTCGACGGATCCCTTACCCTTGCTGCCATCTTTTTCCATTCCAGTGTCAAATGTAGGGACCTGCTCACTGACGACGTTTGAAACGTTAAAATTTTTTTTAATCGGTTGGATCAATTCCACTGAAATCGACAATAATTGTTCAATAGCTTTACTTAATAATGTTACGTGTGACAACCAAAGGCAGTGGTAATGGTGGTATTCGCTGGTGTGCAAGAATGCTTTGTCGGTCAGTTTGGTGTTTTCATCCTGGAACCGAATATGGAAGCCGCAGCTATGGTTTCGAATTGTCCAACGGATGCGAACTTCTGAATTTCATCCAAAAACGGGAACAGCGCTATGTTACTACTTGTGTACTCCCCAGGATCATATAAGATAGAGCTCTTCTCTTTTAGGAAGTACATCCCCCAAAAGAGTAGAAATAAAAGACAACACTAAACCACAAAAAGCTAGTGGTATGCGATCCAATTTCTTGAGTATATACAATGCTCAAACATTTTATTCCAACCACCCTGATGATAATCTGGTAGTATATCTCAAATCCACAGTCGATCTATCCAACACTTCGTGGAACCCATTCACCAAATACCCTTCCTACTACAGCATTTCCCCTGTGTCCTCAAACTCGTCTTCTGATGATTCAAGGCACTCTGAATCTTACAGGCTGCTTCTAGATGCTCGCTAATCTCCCGGACCGTACGTTGTCGATGGTCTGATCTGCTTGCCTTCGTTAGCTCTACAAAAAGAAGTGCATATTTATGGTGTGCGTGAAATATTCCGTGTACACAGCGAAGGTCTGGTTACTCTTCTCGCTAATGTGGAACTGCTTCAGTGACTTGCTCCTTAGGTCCACTCCGACACGCAATCAAATCGCTGCAGACCGGACAGCTCCATAAAGAAGTAGTTGGTGAACTGTAACGCTGTCCTGCTGTCCCGAAGGTTTTTATTTCTTCTGTTCGGGACATAACACCACTGCGACCAGTAATTTGATCTATTGCAGTATATCCCGTGTCCTTAGTTTAGTGTATGTCGTATTACTCCATCACTATTGAGAAAAAATGAAGTATTCGGTTTTGATACAGTTGTCATTCTTGCCTTCATCGCAAAGAATCGATTCTAATTGAATTCCTTAGCAACAAAATTAAACAATGACACCGATCATGACCATGCATCAGAACCCTAGTCTTAACCACTTCAAACTATGGAACCGCAGTGGCGTTTCCTTAACCTCAATCTACCTGTGCACCAACTCTCAAAACATAAACAATTATCAAAATATTACTTGCAAAGGATAGATATCGAGTAAACTAGAAGATTAAGTGTATTTTTAACCGATTCGAGTATAAATATGGCATTAAATCTGGTTTTTAAAGTTGGTGCTCAGGTAAAAAGTGAGGGACGGGACGCCACTGGAACACCGAATAGAAGATTAGGAATCACATAGATAAAGACTAACTACCTCATTTTTTCCTTGTTCATCCTCGGTGGATCAAAGCCGATTCTTATCACTATCAACAAGGCATAAAAAGTAACAAGGACTAGGATGTGTTCCTTTGATTACTAAAAAGACTCGACCCTAGATTTGACGTAGGATTACGTGCTCGGTATCAATATTTGGCGACTATGTTAGGAAACCACTATTTGCAGGCAATCGGTGATAATTTTGATCACCATTGCAACAGTTGAACATTTGAACACGTCAAAATCCTGTTCTCCTACTTTGAAGTAGTCAAGACTAGGAATCGGTGGTAGATCTTACATCCCGTAACGTACCACGAAAAGGTGATCTACCCACATCCCGGAGGCTATCCAACGCATGAAGCCAACATTCGTAGTTATGTATCGTGGTAGGGTAGGTGACTCTTCCATTACAGTTCACTCGGTTGCTTCCAGCCCTTCTGCACAATGACAATGGAAATCACATCATCGAATCGTTGAACACCTTCGGCATTTTCTTGATGATGCGAAAGATGTCAACAATGGCTTGAATGACACTTATGCCCAGAGGCAGTGTAGTGTTGCCTGCGTTGAGAGAGCCGTTGTGCTAATAGCGCAACATTATCAGCCAAAGCGGAGTAGTTGAGCTACTCCACAGTGATATGCTGCCACTTCAGCCCACGATTCGACCTTCACGGTCAATTGCACGATGGCTACCAGAAGGGTCAGACAAGGCTCCGTTATGCAGATCTTTGCGATTCGACGAGTTTAACGATTTTGTCTGGGACTCCCTTACGGCTCAGGGTGCCCCACAGATTTTCGTGATTTAGTCGGTCGAAAGCTTTCGAGTCTCTCGTAGTCAATGAATAACAAATAGAGGGACTCTTGGAATTCGTTGACCTGCTCCAGGATGATGCGGCGCGTGACATTATGGTCCACAAAAGATTTCCTATCCTACCTGTTGTTGCCGGAGAGTCGCGTCGATCTTCTCCGGTATCCGATTCAGGATAACTTTGCACAGAACAGAACACAGCAACATGATTCCTCGCCAATTGTCGCACACAGTCAGATCCCCCTTTGGGACCTTGACTAAGATACCCGGCATCCAGTCGGCCAGAAAATCGTGGTATTCCAGATATTTCAGAATAATTGTGCGGTTATCATGTTGATCGACCCGGGAGCCTTGTTGGATTCCATGCTTCGAATAGGAGCTTCTGGGTGGGTAGGCTCGAAGTTGACGCGAGTAGTTGGTGGCAGGTTGGTTGGGAAAACTAGTGCTCAAATCAACGTTTCAGCTGTTGGTGGAGTCGGTAAATAACTGTTCTGTCACGTCTTTCACTGGCATCCTTGGAGTCATCCTCCACTCAGGCATCTCCTTTGTCAGCTTCTCTAGAGCCGAGTACCGTTTTTGGCATCTCTCCTTCTCGCCTAACTCTATCGCGGCTTTTGCTTCTCTACGTTCCTTTATCTTCTGCCAGGTTCCTTCCATGATCCACTCTTTTCGCTGGATGCGCAGCTCACCCAGGTTGTTCTCACTGTCTCAATAAAGGCATTGTTGTCCGCCCATTATTCTTTTACGCTGTAATATCCACTGCTCCGGTCGTAAGATCTTCAACGAGTGACCTTTTCACTGCTGAATCTTCTAATCGATTTGTGTTGTATCGCCGCCCGGCACTGTCCTCCCGCCACTGAATCCGCGCAATGCGTAGGCGCGCAATTCCCCGATTAGAAAGTGATGATCAGACAAGCAATGTCGGCGCTGCGGTTATTCCGGACATCAGAAGGCTTCGTCTCCATCGATCGATTTTACTCTCGGTATGGCCATCACGGTCATAATAAATCTTGATGTCACCCTTTGGAACCTTATTAATGACAGCATTCAGTTGACTGTAGAAATTCTTCTTGCCCTGTGACATAGTAATCCGTGTTCTCAATCTGACAACGATTATCCTCTCATTAATAGGTTCCAACTTGATGAACGCAGTATTTGCCCGAACGCTAAGCAGGAAATCCACTCCACGGTGCCGGGAATCGTTTTCACCTCGAATATCACCTCGCTAGGTCCCAGAATTTCAAGCTTCATGTGTTATGCCTCTGTGGCGAGTTGGTACCTGCGTACCCTGCTAGGCTAATGATAACACCTACATTCCATGTTCCAATTCTTGTCCGTTGTTTTTTGCTAAAAGTCGTGGCCATTAAATCAGTTCGTTGTCTACATCTGTTGTTTTCTGTAACAATTAGTAGATTTTGGAGACCTTGGTTTGCCTAATGTCTCCTAGGCCCGTGATGTGGCTGCCATCTTAGGTGTACCTTCCGGGGAAGAGCATTTCTTGTTCATTACGGCGCACTTCCCTGGGGAACAGACGCTTGGGTATGGCGAAGAGTTTCCTCTATCGCCGTCCTATGGTTACAGCGCCAGTGTTCGCGTCGTACCTTCTCACTTTGCTATTGCTGGATTAACATCATTGCCCAGACTACGCCACCCAGTGGGATTCAATCACTTTATGATTTTGAAGTGTTGCAATTTCTCAAATTTAATATTTAATGAAAATAAGAAAAGCAATGATCCACTAACAATTCATCAATTCACCTCATTCGAATGGATGAAATCGATTTGATTCGTCATTTAACGAAGGAATGGATCATTTTCATTTGAGAAACACTTGATGTCATTAAATTGAGTCTAACCTCTGGTCGACATTCCGGTGAAAAAGCTACAAGAATCCGATCGCAATCCGACATTGTCACGACCCAAACCCAACATTGACCCGACATTGCGTCAACATCGGTTGATTTGACTCAGTGCTAGAGGAAACTCTACGACTTAAGGTAATGAAGGTGAAAGCGAAACGGCAACGGCAAAACCCTTATTTCAGAGGATCCTATTCTCCGCCCCTATTTTCGAACTCGATCGAATCGGATTTTCCACACAATTTACATTAAATATCAACCTATTTCCCAAAAACCTTGCAACTTTTTCAGGTATTACATTCTCAGCACAACACGGCAACTTAAGGGTTGTGCAATCGATGGCGCGTGAAACGCGTAGCTCGCATCAACTCCGGGAAGTTTATCAACCACAATTCAACCGCTATAAACAAATCTTAAGGAAAACAATCTCATCCCGAAAAAGGAATTTTTCTCTTTCCTTAATATATATACATGTAGCACATGAAATGAAATTGAACAAACAAACTGCATTACTACACAAAACAGATGAAACTGTATCGAAATATTAAACAGTCAAAAAAAGAAGAGATGCTTTCAAAATGAACAAAATTTACACAATGGAATAACAAAACAGGATAGTAAAGAAACATTATAATTCTCTAAAGAAAAAAGATACCTATTAGTAGATAGTAAGAAAGTACTAGAAATGATGATGATTTCCTTATTGTTTAAACTTTTTTTTTATAAATATAGACTCTAATATATTTTTTTATTTATATAAAAATTTCGTGTTTCCTATTGTCTAATTTTGCAAACATAAAAAAAACAACGGCTCGCTTGCAATAGTAGTTGCTCATAGCATATTTTACTATTTTCTAATTGTTTTTAAAAATTAAGTGATCCACTAGAACAGTTAGTTGAAAACTTGCTGCGAATGGTGCTTTGTACCCCCACCTCCCCAAACAAAACGAATAATCGCAAATCTCGCTCTCATGATGATGACGCTACGTGTTTAGTCCTATTATATTTTTATTCCTTCCTAGAGGTCCTGGAGAAAGAAGATGGTCCTTTTTCTATGATCATTTTTAGGTAAGTTTTACCTTAAATAGTAAAACGAAAATGCAACCGCAAAACCGCGTCTCTTGTTTCAAAAACGGGGCACAAATTCGATTTCCTTAAAATTAAACAAAAACTAGGGCATAAGTTTGGAATCGGTTCTTCCAAAATAAAACAAACACAAAAAAGATAGCTTAAATATTTCGCATAGTAAAAATTGTTTGTTTTAGTTGAAATCGTAAAGAAATCAAAAGAAACCCCTTTTATATTGTGATCGATGTGATCTGGTTATAGTTTAGGAGAGCTAAATCGAATGTTGATTTTGTGTGATTTTAAAAATTGGTTGCGATAATTTCCTTATTACCTTACTATCATATTAGGTTACAAAACCGATCGGTTGCAATAATGCTGGTGAGAGAAAGAGAGAGAGAGAGTTGATGAGTGTAAAAAAAAACGATAGAGTACGCGCAGTTGGTAAGAAGAGAGTTGATTTTCGATATATTTTATTGTCACTGTTAAGTGAAGAGATTAGCGTGTTAGTTGCGAGTGTTCTAGGAGTAGACGATGACTTTGATGAGAATTGAAAATGTGGTGTCATGAATACCTACCACCTTTACTACCACCTACTCTACTGACACATATTGTTGTGTTAAAGTTGTTTTTTTTTCGGAGCAAAATCATTCACCCCACCCCATTTGGAATCGTTTTTCGTCATCCATAGAGAAATCATTTTTAGGTAGAATCGTGCACTGGTGAATGCAAGTGCTTAGGAAAATATTAATTGTCGGACAAAGGAAGATTGAAGTTATGACACAAAACCGAATGAAACTGATTAAAATAGGTAAATTGAAACAAGAAATGTGAGAATTCTTTAAAGTTCTTGAATGTCGCCATGAAGTATAAAAATAAAGTGTTCTATAAAATAACGTTGGGATGAGGGGCTTGTTAATGCCGAAAGTTTTCCATGTTGTCTAACGGATCCTGTGGCCTCTTTGCCGAATGAGACTTTGCCTTCTTTTGATTGCTGCTCGTTCTTTTCACATTCGGAGTGATGGCGCGCGGGGAAGTGACATTCGGGATAATGTTGCACAATAAGGTAGGTAACTATTTGCGGGCAAATAACCGAAAAAAAAACATTTTCAGGACTGGAAGCCATTGACGCCATTCGAACGAAAACGAGAATATGGGTGAGAGACGATCTCCCTTATTCTGCGAGTCACGTGATTCTCTGTAACTGGTGAGGTGACAATTCGACAGTGAGCATGCATAAGGGCGTAAACGCGATGATCTATTTATTTTATTATTAATAACTCGCTAGAATTAACGTTTCTCGGTGCTTTTGCTGTTGCTTTCGATAGCCAATACAACCTCTAGCCACAAAGAACGGACGTCACTAGCGCCACCATAAAGAATGTTGCGACTAAAGTTATCACCAACATTTGGGTTGATCTTATTGACCGTGTATCCAAATGAACTGTCAAATTAGTTCAAAACAAACAAGACAAAACAACGGAAATCAATCGACTTTCTACGGAACCATTATTTTCGAATAAATAATTCAGCTCTTTTACAGTTTCCTGTAGATCTAAAACCTGATTTTTTTTAGTTCTTTGGCGGCGTATCTTCAAATGATTCAGTCAGAGTATGAAATCCAATAAGCCCTCATTTAAATTCAGAAAAATATGGTATGCATCCGTTCTTCCAGGAATTCGTAAAGCCTCCGGGGGAAGTGGTCGGAAAATAACTTTTTCGTTGCAAGCACTTGGACTCCACGTGAGAAGAAAATCACCTGTAGTTCGGACAATTCAGCATCCTTAGGAAAATTGTGAAAAGATTTTCGCTTGGTAACTCCTTGTTTATTTGCGCACCATTAAAACTCACACTTGCGGCCCATGTTTTGATCGATTTTAAACAAACAATGTTTTGCTCACAACAATTTTGACATTTATGTTAAGATGACGTCTGCCGGTCATCGACGTCGAAGGGCAGCGACAATAGCGCCACCACGATATTGCTAGTTTCAAATGTCTATTCAAAATAGCAGTTTCTTACACGCTTTAGGAATTTGACTTGGATGTCTGTTCTCTGTGCTCTAGCATAGAGGTAGCAACAATCAATACGAAACTTACGATTTTAAATTGGCTCACTACTTGACTAGCCTATTGGTCCCAAGCAAACGATTAACGTACTCCATTCTAGTCGAAATTCTAGTACTACGCAATGTTTGTTTTGATTCGCTATGAAAGTTTGACAGATAAAATGAGGGGTTCGTGGTTTTTCCTATGTTTCGAGGGGTGAATCGATTAGCTTGGGACCGAAGATAGTACCAGAGCTGAGCCAAAAAGTTGTGCATGTTTCTTCGGGACCTTCTAGTCTTAGAGTTACCTCTATGGAGGTAGCATGTTTCTCTAGCAACCAGTAATGTTCCAATGTCTGGTCAATCTTTGGCAGCTATCAAACTCGACCTCGCTATGATAACTAAGGCGACTTCGCAACTGAAGTCTTCATTTAAGCCTGGACCTGACGGAGTTCCTTCCTGCTGGAAATCAGCTGAGATGTTTCCAGTGCACAAGAAGGGATGCAAAACATCGAACTATCGTGGCATCACATCGTTGTGTGACATATCTAAACTGTTCGAGTTGGTCATTAAGGAACCATTAGTCTCTCACTTCAAGCAGCACTTGAGCGAAGACCAGCATGGTTTCATGGCAGGGCGATCGACTACTTCTAACCTCCTGTCTCTAACCTCGTTCATTACGGATAGTATGACAGACAGTGATGGCATAATCCTCACTCAAATGATTTTGTTTCGCTCTCAAGGGCTCCCAATATCACGCATGATATTGGAATAAAATATCAAGCATGATATTGTTTTTAAAAGCTCCTTTGATATTGCGAGACTATTCAGAACATGTAAAATTGCAGCCACGAGTTGACTTACCACAAAAATGATTCCTTTGCACATCGTTTTCTTAGAAAGAGAAAGCATAGTTTGCTATCTTTCTTTACGCTTCACAGATGGCAGACACAAAGTTACTGCTGCCAGCAGTGATGGAAGTTTCGTTTCGTGTTCGGATGTACATCAAAAATCTTGAAGCTCAAACTCAACACAGTTTGGTGAGAATTTTAGCCGGGGAGTTTTGTTAGCATGATATCATAGCAACCGTATCTCAGCTTGTAATATCATCGGCTGTTGTTTGCGTGTTGAGTTTTTGGTCTACGATACTCAAATGAGATTATGCACATTGGTGAGATTAGATCTTTTGATATTTTCACAACACTGATGACAGACCATATGCAAACAGATGTTATCTATACTGATCAGCCGCCTTCGACATGTTGAACCATCCTATAGCGATCGCCAAACTGGATAGGCTCGGTATAAACGGCAGTCTCCTACGATGGTTCGCATCCTATCTATCTGATCGTCAGTTGGAAGTTGCAATCGACGACTGCCGATCTCCTTCGTTTCCTGCCACTTCGGGTATTCCGCAAGGTAGCCACCTTGGTCCGTTGATATTTCTTGTGTATTTCAACGACGTCAATTTCGCCTCGACGGTCCACGACTTTTGGTTCTCAGACGACATGAACATCTATCTCCGAATCCGAGCCATCGCTGACTGCCACCTTCTCCAACTCCGACCCAACGCTTTTGCTAATTGGTACCAACTGAACCGCATGGTTGTAAATCCAACAACATGTTCAGTAATCACGTTCTCACGGATGAAACATCAAATTACATCCAGTTATATCCTAGAAGGCGTTGACGTACATCGTGTGAATCACATTAAGGATCTGGGAGTTATCTTAGATTGTCAACTCACATACAGCCAACATATCTCGTACGTGATGGACAAGGCATCCAGAACGCTCGGCTTCGGCTCGGCTGTTTGAAGTCGCTTTACTGCTCCGTCGTCCGGTCGGTGTTAGAATATTGCTGCCCTGTATGGAATCTCAATTACCAAAACAGTGTACAAAGAGTAGAGTCTATTCAACGACGATTCATCGGGTTTTCCCTTCGACGATTGCCTTGGAGGGATCCTCATCGCCTTCCAAGCTACGAAAGTCGGTGCCAGTTAATTCACCTGGATCCGTTGTGGAGTCGAAGAGATACGACAAGGGCCCTGCCCGATTGTCCTACAACAAATCGACGTTAACGTTCAACCACGAGCACTCCGTAACAACGCAATGCTGAGGATACTTTTTCGTCGTACAAACTATAGTTCGTATGGTGCTATCAATGGGCTACAAAGGGTTTTTAATCGTGTTGCTTCCTTATTTGATTTTCACTTGGCACGCGAGACGCTGCGTCAGAGATTCCGTGATATATTTTTTAAGAATTAGGAATTAAGTTGGACTTCACGGCCTTTGCAGCTTGTTACTTCTTGACTATATTGTATTTCCTACTATTGCTTAATCCATCATTAGGACTAAACCCAGTCTGATGATGTAGAACCAAATAAACAAATTAACCTGTTACAACTCTACATTGAACAAATTCTAGAAAATTGTTTTGCATAGCTGTAGCAATGCAAAGAGAATCGATCATCGTGTATACGCCCTTATGCATGCTCACTGTCGAATTGTCACCTCGTGTGAGGTGACTCTCCGTGCAAATCAAATGGACTTCCCCATAAACAAGTTGACAGATCATGCTTCTTTCATTACTCGTATTCATCGATCATATACAATATTTATATTTTCGCACAATGATGTACGGAGCGCTCATTCCGACCATGACATAACAGTGACAGATGGTGGACATGATACCGACCACACCAACCCGCGAGGAAGGAGTTTTGATATATTTTGATATCATTCGATTACGCGCGCGCACATACGGGACTTCTCAACTTAGCGAAGCCTAGCTGGGAGAACCAGTATATGGTCGCAGAGAATACTAAGTTCTTACTTTGTGAAGTTGTTCGATTAGCCGACTGGGAAGTCGGGTAGAGCTTCAAAATAAGAATCTTTGGTTTATTGAAATGCATTAAATGCTTTTTATACAATTTGGGCAGGCTTGCAATTGCTCATTACAGCTAAAATGCTATTTTTCGGTATTATGAAACAATGGGATACTATAATGATAATTTTTATTTGTGAGTTGCAAGAAGAGGTGGTTATATTTGTATATGACATATAAAATTTGTCAATTTTACTTTGAGAAGGTCACAACCAGGGCGTCACAATATCAGCTTCAATCGACCAAATCGATGCGACGAAGAGACTGCTGGCTTTCTTTTTCTGTTAAAGTCGAACAGCTTCGCAGCATTCTAGAACCTCAGTCGGCGTGCACAAACAAATGTTCAATCGCTTGTCTCTCTTTCTCCCGTCGCTCCATTGGTCTTCCTTTCAAGCTTCGGTGAAACGGATGAGCGAAAGAGCGCTCGACTTTGATAGTTTTTTCTTTCATGAAACACATCAACAGAGGTTTCATGACGTATATGACGGAAAATTAAATAACACATTTAAAGCATTTCTCACGTGAAAACACGTGAAGATTACACGTAATATTTTTAATTTATCTTCCATCCATATATTTATCTAAAAAAATGATCAAAAACGGGACATAACGCATTTTAAACAAATTGAAAGATCGGGTGTTCGTGAAAGGGGATTGAAAGCCATAATGAGGTTCGTTTAACTAGAAAATCGACGGTAGTTACATTGAAAGCGATGAGTAAAGCAACGACGAGAAGTTCCACAGCCAGCGTGCTTCTTTTTCACTATCATTTCTTGCTGATAGTCTAGCTAGGCGTTATAGAAATGAAGCGTCGAACACGTATGTATGAGAGAAAAAAAAAAAAAAAAAAAAACACGAGTTCATTTTAGAGCTTCGAAAATGTAGAGCCCTGGTCACAACTAGCGATTTTATGATCGCTGATTGCTCGCTCATCGTTACAGCTAATCGCTATTGTGACCCTCTGAAAGCTAAATTGACATATTTTATGTGTCATACACACACTTTACCTTCTGTTCTTGCATCTTGTAAATAAGAGTTATCATTAAAACATCTCATAGCTTCATAAATCCGAAAAACAGCATTTTAGCTGTAATGAGCATTTGCAAGCTTGAATTTGGGTTACATTAATTCATGAGACATTTGGGTAAAAGAGTGGGACAACTGAAGTGGCACCAAAAATACTCATCTTAGCCATGCTTAGCATCAGGGTTACTTCCACTCACTTGCTATAAAAAAATCTTTTTCAGAATTATGAAAATATTACAGGCATAACATTTGATAACGGCACAAAAGCATTTGTAAACAAACATTCTAAGGCCCTTTACACGCGAACTAAAGTACGCCCACGCAAACCAATACCACTTACGGAAAGGTGATAGTTGCCCCTATGCGATGATGTTGTTGGTTTGCGTGGGCGTACTTTGGTTCGCGTGTAAAGGGCCTTAGAAGGTTTGTTTACAAATGCTTTTGTGCCGTTATCAAATGTTATGCCTGATTAGATGTTATAATGATAATTAGTACAAGTAAGTTACAAGAAGAAGTCCTGAAGTATGTGGCTATTTAACGATTCGTGAGCGCTCACTCTGAGTGAACGCTCGCAAATCATAAGATCGCTGATTGTGACGCTCTGAAAGCGAAATTGACAGGTTTTATGAGTCAAATACATACTTTACACCCTCTTCTTGTTACTTAAAAGTACAACACAGCATTATATCATTTAAAGATTTCATAATTCCGAAAAACATTGTTTTATAGCAAGTGAGTGGAAGCATCCCTGCTTGGCATACACAGTTTTGGTCACGAACTGCTCATTTGCTAATAACTTTGAACACAGTTGACGAAACATAGTTCTTTTTGAAGTAGTAGATAGAATAGAGTTGAATTGAATAAAAATTGAAATAGAATTGAGTTTAAGCTTGTTATAGATACGTAAAAAAGATTTTAGTTCTAGTAATAAACTGTATTTGTTTTTGCGTTGTAAAATTGAAATGAGAAATGCTCGGTGCACATCTCAGACGTTAAGTGTAAACATTCATTAGTATTTCAAATGTTAAGATTTTCCTAATATTTGATACTATGATTCTAATCTATCAATTACTTTAAAGAATAAAAAAAATTCAACAACTGAGTGAAAAGTTATTAGCAAGTGAGCAGTTGGTGTGTACAACTGTGCATTACAAGCATGATCCTAGCAATATCGGAAATAATGGTTATATTTTGGTTAAGCGCCCGGCGTTGTCATTCGAAACCTTCCTTGCTGCGCGAACAACCTTGGCCCACACAGGAAGGGAGGAAGAGGACGAGAGGGCGCTGCAGTTCTAGTGATGAGTGGCAAATATATGGGACGCGTAAAGTTGCATAATTGCATTCTTGTTCGAGCGATGGCTCGGTGCCTGGAGTGGATAATTAATAAGCATGGTTCGTATTGATTGGGATTTTGTTAACTGAGTAGGAATGGTATACCACAGAGTCAATATCGAACCCGGAACGGAAATGAGTGCGGATTCATCTCCCTCGAAAAATCTGGAAAAGGCGGAATACGAAGCGTTAGAGAAAAAGGCCAATGGTTTCCAAAAGAATAAATCAGCAGCAGACCAGCGGATCTTGATGAAACCGGGCCAATCATTCATTATAAATTAAATACCTATCAAAATTAAACTAAATACGCGAAAAGAATATTTTCGAACCTGGAAGTGTGTATGTAATACCAATTTGCATTTGATAACGGTGATGCATACATGCGGGGCTTATTGTGAGTGAAAGTAACCTTAGAATGGGCGTGACTATCCAGACATTCCGAAATGGGTTGCGCCTTCCCGGACTAAAAAAACTGTCTGCAATTACAGCAAACGAGAAATTTAAGATGGCTTTCTTCCATAATACTACTGCCGGCCAGTGGGGGGTTAGATTGAATACACACAAAGATTCCTATTTATTCCACGGAAATTCGAAGAACTTTTCAAACGAGTCAAACTTCACCCATTTAACATTAATTTATTCACTCTATCAAGACTCACCACCTCACTCGTCCTTTTCTTCGTCCTCCTGGGTAAATTCCTGGATCGGCGCAACCTTCAACACCTCATGCTCGTCGCCGGAGTCCTCTTCGCGGGGCGCCCCCTTTCGCTTATCCTCCTTTTTCTCTGCTTTGTCCTTCTTAGTTGCTCCCGAAGCCGCGTCCAACCCACTCGCCCAGGTGCCTCGTGGAATATCCGAATACGCTGCCGGATCCATCGGATCCAGCGCTCCACCACCGCCCGACGATTTGCCTCCTCTCCGGACGCCTCGGTCCCGCTCCCTGTCCCGATCGCGATCCCGTCGATCATCGCGGCGATCGTCTCGCCTATCACGTCGATCACGATCCCGGTCCCTATCGCGATCGCGCTCTCGATCACGGTCTCGCTCACGATCCGGACGACCTCCCGTGCCCATCCGGGGTCGTTTTTCGTCGTCCCGGAACGATGATGGATGCTTGTTCGGGTGTGGTCGTTTCGGTGGATTCACCACCGGTGGTTTGAGACTCTCACCAACCGGTCCGACCATCGGCTCACGACTTGGTTGACTCGATGGCTTCGGAACGGGTGGATAGCTTTCCACAATCACCGCTTTTGGAGCACCTTCACCTGCATTCTCCTGGTTTTTGGCTTTCTCCATCAATTCTTTTCGTAGAACCTTTGCGCTCTTGGTCATCTTGGCGTCCGGATGGGTAGGGGGCAACCACGAAACGATTCTCGTTTCTTTGTTGTAAAAGTAGAAAGCCTTGCACCCAATGTCGAACTCCTTTCGCCAGTGCCGCGGAAGCGGATACCGTTCCAGCAAGCGCTTCACCCTTTTCTCGTACTCTTTCTCGATCTCGAATTCCACCTCACCGTACCTTTGAACGCAATACATCGTGCAGTGATGGTAGATGTTGTACTTGTTCTGACATCCGTCGACCGATTGGAACCCATATCGTTTGATCATCTTCTGCTTCATCTTCTCCGTCCAGTCCATTGCCGGATTGACCTTCTTCTTATGAACCGGATACTCGAACGATTCCGGATTGACCTGATCGTACTCATCGTAATCTTCGGCAATGATTTCCTCATTGTTCATATCGGTGTCCCCTCGCAGGTCTTCGGAAGATTCATCGTCACTTTCCGAGGATGATTCCGAATGTTGTTGTTGTTGATGTGGCTGATTGCGGGATTGGACTGGAGGTTGCTGTTGACCCGGTTGGCCATCGCCTTGGATAATTCCCCGCTTGGCTAGGCGCTTTAAAAGCGCTTCGGGTAGCATTTTGATGAAAAAATAGGTATTTTTCGCTGAGGTACGAAGAAAATACTGCACGACTTTGTTTATTTCACTGACAGCTCTAAAGATTTACCGCATCAGAGATGCACTTTTTGTTATCAGAAACACGAATAACGGAAGTTCCTCAGAAATTAGTAAATTAAGTACATCGCACTACTTTTGATCATCGAGATTCTCACAGTCAGAGGGCTTTTTGTCAGGCCCTGTTACACGCTATTTCAAAACTACTCAAATTTGGGTAGAACCTACTCAGATCGGTCAAAACTGAACCTACCCAAGAATGGGTAAACCACAGACAAACAGACATAACTCTCGCAAGTTGTTCATTGAACAAGCATTTAACGGACAATTTAAAAGTATCGTAGTTGGTAGAGTTACCTCTATGGTAGTACCGCCACATGTGGCGCGCATAGTCAATTCCCTCACAGAGAACAGACATGGAAGCTCGAACAAATTGACTGTTAAATGCTTGTTCGATGAACAACTTGCGAGTGTTATGTCTGTTTGTCTGTGTTGAAACTATCCTCCTTCAAGTAGTTCTCACTTCGTAATGTAGGTTGCGAAAGTTTGGAAAAGTTTCACTGCAAAACGCCAATTATTTTCTAAGTGTGTATGCGGTGGGTAGTACGCTGAACAGATGGCGGTAGTGTGTGAACGTCAAACGCAAGGGAATCACAGAGAACAGACGTTCAAGCTCGGTCAGAAACTTGTGTAAAATAAGTGGGAACGTCGCCCTTACGTGGTGTTAGCATCTCCTGATTTTCTCTATAAATTTTCCACTTTCGACCAATTTGGCGCTAGTATCGATAAATTTTCTGTTGAAAATTGCCACTTGGCGCTACTAGCACTTAGTGTCTAGTGTAATTTGTGCAACGCCAGCGCCATCATGCTGTCAAAGAGGGTTTTTAAGTGGGGAAGTCGCCGTTAGTGGCGCTTAAGTCGAATAGGAATCTTTAAACAAGTTTTTAGAGAAATTTTGTTCGAGCCTCCATGTCTGTTCTCTGTGGTGAGGCCCAGTGAATTTGTCATCTCTTTCGTTCTTCGGCTGTTTAAATTAATGACTGAGTTGGACGTCACACTCGTATAACCATTTAACAAACGGGAGAATGAAAGAGATGGCAAATTCACTGCGCGTTACCACAGAGAACAGACATGGAGGCTCGAACAAAATTTCTCTAAAAACTTGTGTAAAGATTCCTATTCGACTTAAGCACCACTAACGGTGACTTCCCCACTTAAAAATCCTCTTTGACAACATGATGGCGCTGGCGTTGCACAAATTACACTAGACACTAAGTGCTAGTAGCGCCAAGTGGCAATTTTCAACAGAAAATTTATCGATACTAGCGCCAAATTGGTCGCAAGTGGAAAATTTATAGAGAAAATCAAGAGATGCTAACACCACGTAACGGCGACGTTCCCACTTATTTTACACAAGTTTCTGACCGAACTTGAACGTCTGTTCTCTGTGATTGTTGGTCTTGATTTTACAATCGCTTATGGCCGCCACAATCTGGCTGAGTTTCTGGTAGGGAATATAATATTTTAACTTTGGGTTGTGTCGTTTGACTTGTAAACGATCAAATTTGAACGTTTACTCGTCAAACGACACAACCCAAACGTCAAACCATATGTTCCCTACTAAAAACTCAACCAGATTGTGGCGGCCATAAGCGCTCGTAAAATGCTGGATAGGCCGGATAGGCAGATTTCACAGCACATCCCGCCCCTGCGGGTTCTGCAGAAAATTTCTTTCGGTGCTTTATTCAACTTCTCTTCTCACATGTAGCTGGCACTGTAATCGCGAATAAGAAGAAGGCGGGTGACGTTTGTCGAATGTTTTGAAATGTTTTGTGCAAGATGCACTATCGCGGGGGCAGCAAAGTGCATTCATCCTCCGTAACCGTTTTGTGTTCGCGCTCGTCCGGCAACGGAAAATAATGTTCATCATTCGGCAGTAGTTGGCAATAAGTTTGTGGAAATACATGATGATTCCAGAACTGCAGGAAGCAATCCAGCTCGCCCAGGAGAATCTCTATCGTGGGTTCATATCGTCCAAGCGTAGTGGCATCGATTGGTTGAATGTAAGTGTAGCTTTATAAACCATGAGATTGCGAATCTAAAATAAAATGATTACTTCTTCTAGACCGTTTGCGGCGACTTTCACAAGTTGTTCCGGGTTTTACATAAATTTCTGGCATTTGAGGTATGCAACAATGTGGCAGTTATGGAAATGGCTTTCTTGTGCCTGTCGCAAATTGTGGTCTGCATCCGGTATCTGGAACGAACGTTGATGACGGAACAGAACAAGAAGTGCACTTTGTCGGTAAGTTTGGAATCTTGGTACAGATAGTTTCAAAGAACGCTATGATTATTATGTTTGTTATCTTAGCCCACTCGACAATGTTTTCTGGATCGGATAATCTGGTGCATAGCTAAGATCAAAGCGCTAGCAGAAGATGAGAATTCAGTGGCACACGAATGCACGACCGAGTCCAATTTCGTCAGCTTTCTCGATTTGGCATTGAATCTGGTTGGCCCTTTGTCGGTGGCATTCGAAGATTCTGGGCTGAATCAGGCCCAGCAGGACGCTGAAGCAATGATTGAATGTGCTCGGATCCGGTCGGTCGTGGAGGCGCTCATTACGCAAACGTTCGCCTTTGGGAATGTGTTGGAGGATGAGGATAAGAATCGCCTTACGAATGTGTGCCAGCGAGTTCTGAAGGAGTGTATTGCGCTGGAGAAGGAATCGGCACTTGTTGAAGGTGACAGTCGTCCAGATGCACAGAATAGGCGTTTGAAGGCTAGCGTACTGGAGGGTGCCATATACCAGTTGGAAACGCAAGTGAACGATTGCTTGTTGATGGTAGTTTATGAGACGTTCGCTGAAATGGATCGTAAATTGTTTGTTCAAATGAGACAAATGATCAAGGAAGGAGCAAAAGAAGAAGAAATTGATAACATGACCAACAGGGTTGATACCATGGTGGACAGAATTATGCAAATTGGATTGTTTGCAATTTCCTATGCTGACAACCACAAAGGTGGGTAAAACTAATTGAATTTGATAAGAATTTAGATAAAATCTTAAATGTTTCCAGCTGCTTCCACCATCCGTAGCTGCTTGGCTTCCATTGAAGCACTGGATTCCTATTTGATACCCTCGATCTACGTCCCCTGCAATTATCACACAAAACTCCTGGAAGAACACTGGTCAGAGGAATCAGCACTGCTTCGCTATCACGTCCAGAGAATTATCGACAGTAATGCTTTTGCTCTATGCTTGATTGAAATCCTCGATAGCGGAATCGATCGTCTAGTTGAAACGTTCAATCCCGCGGATGCCGAGAATCTCGTTCGAAAGGCGGAAGTTTTCAAACAGCACGTCGAATTAAACTCAATCGATTTGAATCTACAACAGCAGGAAGCGTTAAAGATCTATTTTGATGATTTTAAAACCATGATCCTGGAATGCAAAGCCATAGTGACGTGCTCGGAGGAGGATCCTTCGATAGGGAAGGATCGCATTCTGAAAAGATTCCGCATACTGTTGTCAAAGTTGAGGAAAATTCAACTATCGATTAGCGCGGATAAGGCAAATCAACCGACGAAGGATGGCGCGCTCGAACAGAAGCCATCTGAGGTGGCCCAAACGGACGAAGAAAAAGAAGTCGAACAAAGCGTCAAGGAATTTTTCTGCAACAGCATCCAGAGACCATCGATGACGAGCATTTTGTACCGCAGCAAAAGGAGCGACAAGTCTCGGCGGGATTCGACCGTTTCGCTTTTAGAGCTTAAAAGTTTCACCGACATAACGGCACAGGTGAGGAAGCGAGCGGAAACCACTCCGGAGAGGGGTTCCAGTGCTGGCCATCCCAGCAGAAAGAAACCGATCAAAAGGAACAGTTTGCGTGTGGTTTTGTTCAAGCGGCAACAGGGCAAACAGACGGCCGAATTTTTTGAGAGCTTCAAGAGCGATATAGATCTGCAAATAACCGGTTGGTAACAAGGTTTTTTTTTGCCGGGCTTTAAGTTTGACTTTAATGTTGTACTGCTTCCTTGTAGCAATTTTGGACCAACTGACGGACCTTTCAACCACTTTCTCGCTCCCACCACAGCACGATCAGTGCAGTGAAGCATCAGGATCGCAGCAGCAGCTAGAGGAAGAAACTAGCAAGGTAGCGGTTCCACTTATTACTAGGAAGTCTATCACCAAGGAGGAGATAGCGATTCTAGATGACAATAGAATCAGTATTAATATTACTACCGACTTATGATTGAGAGACTAAAAATGGCATTAGGTATTTTGGGGTACTTAATATTTGGTTTATAATTGTATGTTTCACACTCTGTTTATAATAAAAAAAAACAATCTTTGGATCTAGAAAAGGATGATAATTCAGATGACCTTTAGAAGCTTTATGAAATGTTCAAGATATTAGCAACCAGGTTTCAAAATCAATTTTTGGCATTTGTTGTTGCAAAGTATCAGCATAGAGACCAGAAGGTCCAGAAGAAACGAGTTCAACTTTTTGGCTCAGCTCTGGTACTATCTTCGGTCCCAAGCTAATCCCAAGCAAGCAAATTCCAGCCTACAAAAACTCAATACATCATTTTGCGAAATTCGGTTGATGAAAAAAGTTAGGGACAAATGAATGTAAATGAATGCACGAAATGAATGAAAATGATTTTCCATGCCTGGTTCCAGCACATCCCAAGGTCATTGCCAATTCTGTGGCAGTGGATATTTCAACTTCCAGTGCACGGAGTTCAAACAGCTAACAGCAACTCAGAGGGCAGAGAAAGTTCGAACGACAGGTTTGTGCTTTAACTGCCTCCGCAAGGGACACCAGTCCAAACAGTGTACGTCCAGCAAAACGTGTCGAAAGTGCAGCAGAAGACATCATACCCTACTACATGATGACAACGAACGGGACAGCAGCCAGGATGTCAAAGCGAACGTCGCTTCGCCAAAGAATCCTGAAATCAACAAACCACCAGCTAGTGTTCAACCTCCTGCTTCGGTGTTGGATGAACCCGTGTCCACTGCATGCTCAAGCAATCACGTCCAAACATCGAAGACCGTTTTGCTGCTTACTGCAGTCTTCCAAGCCATCGATAGGCATAACCAACCGCATCCATGTCGAGTCCTGCTCGACAGTGGGTCACAAGTCAATTTCGTTACCGAGGATATGGCAAACCGCCTCGGTTCTCCTAAGATGCAAGCCAACGTCCCGATCACTGGAATCAATGCATTAAGAAGCCTAGCTCGTGATAAAGTTTTTGTAAAATTCCGATCGAGCTACGGAGGCTTTCAAGCTAACATCGAGTGTCTGGTTACACCCAAGGTAACTGGAACTATTCCAAACAGCAGAATCGATTTCAGCACCTGGAAAATCCCTGACGGCATCCAACTCGCCGATCCACGTTTCTTCTGCCTCGAGAAGGTCGACATGCTGATCGGGGGAGAGCTTTTCTTCGACATTTTGAAGCCCGATCAGCTGAGCCTAGGTGCAAATCCACCGCAACTTCGGGACACTCATCTTGGATGGGTGGTAGCCGGAGTGATAAACGAGCCGTACGTTTCGAACGCGGCTATCCAACACGCAGAGAAATGGTTTTTAATTTCAAAAATAAATCACATTGAAATCAACAAAAAATATTGTAGACTCAGGGCCTATGCAGATTTTTTCTTTGAATCAAAAATAAATGTGAATAGATTCAAAAAAATGTTTGTTGTTTTTAGAATCAACTTTCCATGTGACTGTGAGCAAATTCAACAATATTTTTTTTTTATTCCATCATGACGTTTCTTGAATTAAAACAAATATATTTTGTTTCAATCACCCGCTTCTTTTTGAAACAAAAAACAAAGATTTTGTTTCAAAGAAAATATTTGGTTGATTTAAAAAAAAATACATTTGATGTAAATAACCTGATATTTGATTTATTTTCCATATTAATTGATTCTTTTAATTTTAGCTGAAATCAAACAATTAAAATCATTTTTAGGATGTCAAACAATATTTATTATACTTACAAAATTACAGTATCTAAATAATAATTTTTGATTTACTTTGTGTAAATTAATCGTTTTCATTGCAATATTTTGAATGTTATTTATTATTTTTCTCTCAGTAGTTTTGCAAACCTCAAATGACTGCAAATGGTCGTTAAACCCAAGGGAGTGAACATTGAAGCAAATTAAAATTAGTTGTTCATCGTTATTTAGTATTATCTTCTCTAACTCATGAATGCTGATGACGTTGCGCTGCATTATATAGAAGAACACATTTGGTTTGAAAATCATCCCTTGCTTTTTAAATTTATCCACGTATCGTAAAACATTATTATCAATCGTACCATAACTACTCAACAGGGACTTATGTTCTTCGCAAATTGGCGCATTTAATATTTTGGATTCTCGTAAATCTATTGTTGGTTCCAAAAAACTATTATTCATCACATTGGACGCAAATTTGAATCCGGCTTTAATTGCTAGAGATTTACATAAATTTATTTTGTTGTTGGTAGCTCTACTATACTGTTTTGAATCTCTATGTTTTGCCTCACCTCGCATAGCCCATTGATGTCGAGGAGCACCTGATTGTAATATGAATGTAGCGTAATGCAATAAATTATGGTGTTTGGGCTTTAGCGTGTCATTAAACAATGTCAAATACTGTGAATCATGCACATCTACTAGCTTTTTCAAAATCTGCAGGTACTCTGTTGGAATTTCACGCAGCATGAGAATGTGGCAGATTTGAAGCATTAAACATAAATGTTTCCAAACCTGATCTTCTTCTGGCACTAATCTTCCTATAATTAGTGGAATGAAGTTGACTAACGTTTTTATTTCGCTTGCAGTCATTTTGATTTTACTCTTAGATATATTTATTTCTTTAATATCGGTTGGAATATTGGACGAATTAAGGTTTCCGAAAACAAATGTATTTTTTTCTAAAATTGAATTCCTCAAGAGAGAACATTTTCTTAATATTAATAAAAAAGTTCAAATAATGTCCTAATCCATAAATACATACTGCTTCCCAAAGGTCGTGCATCATATCAAAGTATATGTTAAATGTCACGTGAAAAGACGGAATCTCATTGAAAATGCTTTCTTTTTTCACACCAGTTAGTGATACATCATCCATGTCTTCATCGTAGCTCTTAACAGTTCTGAAAGTTTCTGCATACTCGATAGTATCATTTTCCCTCTGATGTCGATTTCTCTTACATATGCGGCAATAATAATTGGCACGAACGGATTCAACTAAGTCTAAAATACCGGAAAGCCCCAAGTTATCACCGGTAATGAAACCTAGCATGAAATAAACAACTTTTATGTCTCCTTTAATGTGTATCTCTAATCCATTAGTCTCAAGTTCAATCAGTGTATCTACAAGACTACGAAAAAGATGCTTATTGTCAAATTCTTTCCTATCCTCCGACAGTATGAATCCAGCAACATGAATGTTCGAAAGTTTTGTCAGAATGTGTGCAGGCAAACAGGGGACGTAATAATAGATGCCGCAAATAGAAGTTCTGGCTGCATGTGATGAAACTGTATCGCCAGTTGTAAAATCGTCAAAAAACAAGTTCAACGGTACTATAAACTTATTCGTCGAGTAGATTGTGCGTTTCTTCCAGAGGTCACCGTCAATCATGGTTCTAATGTATCCGTCACTTGATGGCGTTAAGTTGTGTAATATAGTATCCATTACACCATCTGATTCCATATATTTCCGAAGTTGAAACTTCAAAGGCATCAGAATTGCTAAATGTAAAAATATGTTATGTTTAGTTATCAAATATTTAGTTATTTAAAATAAATGATTGTATTACCAGTAATAGGGTCATTAGTCATTTGCTGCTCATTCCGCACGATACCTGGGCGTAATTCATTACTTATTACGAATTCCCTCGGTTCTACATACAAATCATTCACCTTCAGTTTTTCCACGAATTTATGCTCTGTATCGCTGTTACACATATCTCCGAGTATCTTGTTAAACATTGTTTTTCCTTCAGCCGTTATGTACCTCGAAGACTCCATCTGTTCAACTATGCTACTAAGCGGGTAAAAAAACATGCTCTGCATATCTTTTTGCATATCGAATACTACTTTCCTTGGAAGAGTGTTTGCACTTAAATATTTTAAATTAAAACTAATAGATACATTCTCCATTTGATTGATCATCATATTTAGGATGGCTGGATTCATCGAGTCGCGCGTTTCTTCTATTGGTGGTATATATTCTACGTCAGCATCGATTTCCTTATCAATATTACATTGTAGTGTAGGTGTTTCGGCATATGCAAAAGAATCTCCGTTGAAATGATGTTGTGCTGCGTTGTCATCTATCGTGCTACTGATTTCTTCAAAGTGTTTCTTCAAGTGCCGATAGAATGAAGATTTAACGCTATACTTCCTTGTACAATTTCCGATGTTGCATTCGTAGACGTCCAGATTTCCGTGATATTTGTTTAAATGGTCGTGTAAACGATTGACCGATTGCGATGTCCAGCTACATCGCGGTGCTACACATCGAATCATTGTTGCCGTTGTTGTTGAAGACTATTCCGCAGTGAAGTGCACAGTGCCACAACGTGAGTTTGTTCACGAGAAACCTCAAAGTCGAATAACAGGTTTGCCAACAAGCTCCAAACTGACGATGATTGACGTGGGAAAGCAATGCTATATGATTTGTAAATTTTCAAACACACATCAAGTGCTTTTATGAAGCTTGGTAACTTGTATGAAACCACGTTGTTTCATACAGAAAATGATGTAGGGCTTTTTGGGTCCTCCCCATGAACCACAATGAATGGGGCTAGCTCTATACTTCTCGATTGTAATGATTGGAAAATTTTGGCAAGCGTAGTTTGGAGCTCTGCCAAATCTTTCACTAAAACTGCGACGCTCTCCCGTGACTCAATAATTGACGGCTTCCAGCGTTGTTTTTTCGGCAACATGAGAATAGGACTTGGCAAAATGTGATTCAAAAGCCAGGTGGTTATGAGTCCTCGTCCATCTGTAAAAAAAAACATTATTGTATTGAATCCCAGATTGGATCAATCTACCTACACTACCCGCCATAAGTATGGAATCGATATAAAAAGTATTGCAAAACACAAACTGAATATTGCAGCATCTTGAAAAGTTTAAAAACCTGAACAGAGTAGGGTGCAGGGTAATGCCAAACTTCTTGAGGGTGCTGCAATATTCAATTTGAGTTGTAATACTTATTGAAGCGACTCCATACTTATGGCGGGTAGTGTAAATTCTGCTGATGGGCACAGTTCAAGAGGAACATGTGAAAAGGCCATCTTAGCTTTTTGTAAAGCTCGCCAACCGAAGGCCACCCACGCAAACCAACATCCGGAAGGGTAAAGTTTCCCCTACCCCTAAACAAAGGTTTACAAAACGCTGAGATGACCTTGGGTCAATTATGCGTTCAACTGCATTATAGATTATGTAGTATTACAATTTCCAGTTACACTTTAACTTACCATTTGAAATGTCGGCTGTTTTTAGTAAATTTAGTAAACTCTTTCCGACGGTATCCGTTATCTCCAGTTCCAAAATTGGATAAACCTCGCTGACAAATAATTCCCAACGATCGAAAAGGAGTTTTTCCTTTTCCGGGAACCGTTGTTGAAAATCGATTTGAATCAATTGATAGGCCTGGTGGTGTCTTAAAACAGGATACTCAGCCAGAAGGGAAGCAGCGTTTCGAGTTTCGTTCTGAGACAATTCAAATATTCTTTGTGTTGTTGTTTGCTTCCACTTACTTCGCACTTCGTCCCAGTCATCCTGATTGTGGGTAATCCATTTTTTGGTTCGTTGATATTCTGTTACTGAAAGAAAACTTTCTATTATTGAAAAACATAGTTGACATTATAAAACATACAGTCATTCTGGGTAATGTCGTTCGTAGAGCCAAGATTTTCTGATACTTTAACGATAGATATCTTGTGTGCAGTACTCTCCGGTTCTCTCGCTTCTCGGTAGTTGATGTTGCGGTCACGTAACGTTCCTTTGGCTTGTCGTCTTAATTTTAATTTCCGACCAGAGCTATCCGTCGTCCATGTAGGTTGATACCAACTTTCCTGTTAAAAAAAGTAATGAAATACAATGATTAGTATAAATTGTTATTTATAGGATTACTGAGGTTAAGTTCAGGGTAATAAGTAAGCTCATAAGTATGGTTTGAAGGCCCTTTTCTCGTCAACCGAAGGTCCCCCACGGAAACCAACATCCGGAAGGTTAAAGTTTCCCCTACCCGATGATGTTGTTGTTTGCGTGGGTGACCTTCGGTTCACGAGAAAAAGGCCTACAAATGTTTGTTTACAAGAAGCTGATATGACGTTTTCACATGTTCCTCTTGAAATAATGAACTGAAAATTAGTTTAACTGGTGATTAAAAAGTGTCATTTGAAAAACATACCTGTGGTTCACTCGGAAATAGTGAACGCAGCTCAACTGCTCTACTTTGCAATTCGTCGGGAGTCAATTTGGAAAAACGATCCTTAAACTCGTCGACCACGATTTGGGTTATGATGCGCTTGTCAGATCTTGTAAGATGTTTATTTGTATCATATTTTTTCAGGATTGCTTGGCCTCTTGCGGATGTTTGTATCAAATAAGTTGCTGTACAGTTAGCTCTCGTTACATCTGACTGCTGAAGCGCAAGCGGCGCAAGTGAAAAAATAGAAGATGTTGATTCAGCTAACGGTGGAAGATTCTGTTTGTTTAGAAAGTGAAATAAGATTTGGGCGTACTTGAATATTAAACATCACTTACCAGGCTTTTTCTCCATGAATTCAACGCATGAATGCACTTTGTCCTTTCCGCTAAAAATGGCTGCTGAATAAGATCCTCCACTTCCTTCCGCTCAATGATTTTCAGGATATCAACTGTGTATCGATTCGCTGAAATAATTACAACTATTTAAATGGCAAAAATGTATTAAATTAGAATTTTCTTACCTGCTTTCACCGATTACTGCTTCGCTCAAACCAAATGATTTCAATAACTTCAACAATTCAAAATCTTCTGCACCCAGCGTTTCAACCTCCAGCTCTTCAAGCACATCTTCCTCTGACGAATCCATTTTTTTCTGTTTGCGTGATAATAAAATGGCGATCAACACATAGACAAAAAATCAGATCATTTCCAAAATATTTGTTTTAATCAAAAAGCAAGGTCTTTGTTTCTAATAACAACTTTGTAGAATGAACTCTGCTATACATTAGAAACAAAGATTTTTTTTCTTTGAATCAACAAAACAGCATGAGTTTGAATTAAAAATGCAATGTATTTGATTCTAATACGCCTTGTTTCTCTGCGTGAACACGCCAACTTTGCTTCGATCGATTACATCGAGGAATTGATGCACCAATTCTGGAAGATGGAGGAAGTACCAGACGCTTCTCCATTTTCACCCGAACAGCTGTCCTGTGAAGCCCATTTCCTATCGACGTTAGGTTTGTTGTGAAGCTGCCATTCAAGGATAACGTGGACCAGTTGGATAACTACCGCTCTCTGGCGCTCAAGCGATTCCTCATGCTTGAAAAACGTTTGGAACGCAATCCCGAACTCAAGCAACAATACGTCGATTTCATCAAGGAGTACGAGGATCTCGGCCACTGCCGGGAAATCAAGGAAGCTGATGACCCACCGAATCTGAGTAGCTACTACCTGCCCCATCATGCGGTGCTGCGTCCTTCGAGCTCAACCACAAGTGTCGAGTGGTATTCGACGCTAGCGCCAAGTCCGAACCATCCAAGCTGTCGCTCAACGAGGTGCTCCAAGTCGGCCCAGTAGTGCAGAATGGAATATTCTCAATTACGCTGCGATTCCGTAAGTACCCATATGCTTTTTCAGCCGATGTAGCCAAGATGTACCGTCAAGTGCTCACGGCGCTACTGGACAGGCGGTTCCTGCGATGCTTCTGGCGATCCGATCCATCGCATCCTTTGAGGGTACTTGAATTGAATACCGTTACGTACGGTACAGCTTGTGCACCATACCAAGCAACGAGGTGTTTGGTGCAGCTTGCCCAGGAAGAACGGTCTGAGTTTCCCATCGGTGCTCGGATCCTGATAGAAGACTTCTACGTCGACGATGCTCTATCTGGAGCCAACACCCTCGAAGATACAATCGAATGCCAACGTCAGCTGAAAGCCCTGCTTGCCAGAGGTGGATTTCATATCCACAAATGGTGCTCGGATGAGTTTCTCGAGCAAAGAAAGTTCCGTTACACGAGTATGGACCCAACGAAGTAATCAAGGTACTCGGAAGTTGTTTGATCCAGTCGGACTGTTCGCTCCAGTGATCGTCACCGCGAAGTTATTGGTTCAGCAGCTTTGGAGGACATCAGCAGGATGGGACGATCCAATCGACGAGGACACTCAAGAACAATGGTCCACTCTTCAAGCATCACTACCGGAGCTTGGTCGTATTCACATTCCAAGGTGTGTCACGTTCCCGGATACTATCGCTCACGAGTTACATGGTTTCGCTGATGCATCGAATGTGGCGTACGGTGCGTGCGTCTATTTGAGGAGTATTTTCGCCAATGGATCCGCAAGCTTACGTCTTCTGTGCAGCAAGTCAAAGGTCGCTCCATTGCACGATCTTTCCATTCCACGAAAGGAACTTTGTGCTGCGCTTCTGTTGACGCAATTGGTCGGTCAAGTGATTCCAGCGCTGCAGATGTCTTTCCGAGAAGTTGTCCTTTGGTCGGACAGTACAATCGTTCTAGCATGGCTCAAAAAACCCTTGGATCAGCTTCAAACTTTTGTGAGGAATCGGATTACTGTAATACCAACGGAAACCAGTGAGTATCGATGGAATTATGTTCGTTCGGCTAGCAATCCCGCCGATATCGTCTCTCGAGGCCAACTGCCGGAAGCTTTGAGACAGAACAGCCTCTGGTGGAATGGTCCGAACTTCTTGTCCGCATCCGAATACGACGGTGAAGACACCAGATATTCCCGACAACAACCTTTCCGAGCTGAAGGTCCAAGTTGCAACTTCTGCGGTAAGTTGTGAGCCTTTTCTGTTCTTCTTCAAACACAGCTCTTTTCGAAAAATTCAACGCATCATGGGCTACGTGTTGAAGTTCGTCAGCAACTGCCGAAGGCCACGGTCACCCGATCGTGTGAAGCAAGCCCCTCTCACTGTCGAAGAGCTACGTCAAGCATCGGAAGCAATCGTCAAGGTGATTCAACAAGTGCACCTTGGTGATGAAATTCAACGGCTGGTCTCCAATCAACCATGCAAACGTCTGGGCAACCTACGCCCGGTGTATGCAAACGGTTTGCTGCGAGTCGGAGGGCGATTTGATCGCTCGAAACTGCCGTTTGCAGCGAAGCATCAACTCATTCTTCCCGACAAGGATCCTGTAATAGTACGTTCAGACTACAGAGTTATAACATGTTATAGCGCTATCTTGATGGTGGTTTCTGTGTTGCAATTATTTGACAACCGTTATAACATGTTATAACTCTCCAGTCTGTACAGCGTTTAACGAGAAAGTTGATTAGTACATTGCATTTAGAGCCATGCTTGGCATGCACAGTTGTACACACCAACTGCTCATTTGGTAATAACTTTTCACTCAGATGTTGAAATTTATTTTTCTTTAAAGTAATTGATAGATTAGGCTCATAGTTTACTATAGATATGCGAAGATTAGGTAAAGCTCAACATTTGAATCAACACTTATCAATTTAACACTTAAATTCCGAGATGTGTAGTGAGCATTTCTCACCTCATTTTATGTTCCGTCAACTGTGTGCAAAGTTATTAGCAAATGAGCAGTTCGTGACCAAAACTGTGTATGCCAAGCATGTTTGGAGCATCTTCACATCGGTCAAGCCGGTTTGATCAACATCATTCGGCAGAGGTACTGGCTTCGGAACGCAAAGTCTACTGTGCGACAAGTAACACGGTCATGTGTGAAATGTTTTCGCACGAATCCTGATGAAACCAAACAGCTAATGGGAAATCTACCGTATAACCAACAATCAATACGAAACTATCGATTTGAAATTGGCTCACTACTTGACTAGCCTATTGGTCCCAAGCAAATCGATTAACGTATCCCATTCTAGTTGAAATTCTGGTACTACACTATGTTTGTTTTGATTCTTTATGAAAGTTTGACAGATAAAATGAGGGGTTCGTGCATTTTCCCATGTTTCAAGGGGTGAATCGATTAGCTTGGGACCGAAGATAGTACCAGAGGTGAGCCAACAAGTTGAGCACGTTTCTTCGGCACCTACTAGTCTTAGAGTTACCTCTATGGTATAACTGATGTAAGAACTCAGCACTCACCAACTACCTAATCGGAGATCAAACATACAGCACCCGGTTGACTCAGGCGACAAGATCAAGCTCCGGAACACCCAGGGTCGGTTAGCTACCGGGTAATCAGAGGGTTTCGCGATACAAAAACGAAGAACTTTCACTTTTCTTTAGATGCTTTTATTTGCCACTTTCTGTGTTGTGTGCGTGTTGTTCTGTGTTCATAATTTCGTGTAATATGTGTCGTGTAGCCTAATCGCGTTGTTTACTGTACCGGCACATACCGCTGCTGCCGTTGATGGTGAATCGGGATGGCCGACACAGTGACTCCTGTCCTACTGTGCGGCCGGAACTCTCGCCAGATTGGCGAAGCGAGCGGATGAAAGGCCAGCGGGCGTTGCTGGACGGTGGGATGGCAGGCGTCGTCCTTCGTTGGCACGATCGGCCGACCGTGGCAAGGCCACCTTGGTCAAGCCGAGAAGGGAAAACTCCTTTACGATTATGGCCTACGTTTGGCCAGATAATAATGTTTGGCCCTTGACAATTGGGCTCGGAACCTGTTTCCAAGTTTACGAGCCGGCCGTGTGCTGACGGATAACCTTTTTAAGGTCCAATATAAAAAAGAGGTCCTGAACGTTAAATTTCCCTAGCGCACACTAGCTGTTGCTAGGGGCGGGGGGGTCCTGGTTCACGTTCTAAAACACCAACCACTGCACTTCGCTAATACAATTGCGTCTTAGCACACGGACGCCTGATATTAAAAGAGGCCGATTTTGGGCAATGGCCGTTCTTTCTCCCAATTTTCTTTCATCCCGTCATCCCGTCATCCTTGTTTGTATAGTTGTTTGTAGCTCTATGGTGGACATAACGTAACGGCACAACATTTTCACAGCGGTACACTATCACTATCACTTCTGTGGTATACTGCTGTTTCTGCACAAGAAACGTGAAGGTTCTGAATATATAACATAAATGACAAGAACCTATGAATTTGTGACCAAACGGTTACAACCGACATCGAGCATCGTACCATCGGCTCCGTTCGCAGTGACTGGTGTGGATTATGCCGGTTCGTTTCTGGTGAAACAAGGTTCACATCGTCCGAAGCTCGTGAAAGCGTATGTAGCAGTCTACGTGTGCATGGCGACGAAGGCTGTGCATTTGGAGGTCGTATCCGATCTGCCTTCCTAGCGTCGTTGAAGAGATTCATCAGTCAAAGAGGAATGGTCCAACAAATTCATTCGGACAATGCAACTAATTTCCACGGAGCAAACCACGAACTACACGAGTTGTATCGGCAATTCCAAGATCAACAAACTGTGAGGAAGATCCAACAGTTCTGCCAAGCACGTGAGATACAGTGGCATTCCATCCCACCGGACGCACCAGAGTTCGGTGGTCTCTGGGAAGCGGCGGTTAAGGCGACTGAAACCCACCTGAAGAGAGTCGTACGCAACTTGAAGCTGACATTCGAAGAAATGGCGACCATCCTGACGAAGATAGAGGCCATCCTAAACTCGCGTCCGTTGTACAGCGTGTCCAGCGATCCTGCAGATCCACAGGTAATTATGCCAGCTCACTATCTTATAGGTCGTCCGCTGATTGATCCAGGAAGATATCAAGGTTAACCGACTCGATCGATGGCAACATCTTCAACTGATGCGTGAGCATTTTTGGCGAGCGTGGTCCAGGGATTACCTTAATTCTCTCCAACCACGCAAGAAGAATCTACGAACGACACCAAAACTTCGACCTGGAATGGTGGTCGTACTCCACGACAAGACTCAACCCCCGCTCAGTTGGAAGCTGGGTCGAATCACATCAGTGTATCCAGGTGATGACGGTTTAGTACGGGCCACCGGTGTGTTCACCAACGGATCAACGTACCGTCGTCCTATCAACAAGGTCTCCGTGCTTCCAATCGAGGACAACGTTTGCCCCTCATCGGTACCTGAAGCTGTTGATACGATGTCTCAACCGAATGTTCCGTCCGTTCCCAGAAGGACTGAAGTGAGGTAGCGCCCAATCCTATTTCTACGGCAACACTACGAACAGCGACGCTAAATACTATGGTAGGGATTCGTACGAGGGAGAACAGCACAAACCGATCAGTATTAATTCAACCTTCAAAGTGTGTACACTAGAGCAAAGAGTAATAAATGTAGTTAAGTTAGTAAAGCAAAAGTGTTCTTTCCATCGAACCGATCATTCGAAAATACAGTCCACCACCAAAGATCCGTACATCCAAGGGAATCGTCAAGGGCACTTCCAGTGTCATCCCAAGATCGTTTTCCACAGCGATTCCCTCCCGCATGTGTTATGGTTCATTGCATCGGAACAGTTTTTTAGGCTTCTAATTCTAAGGATCTAAGGATTCTAATTTACCTCAATGAGCCCTTTGCCCCATTGCACCAGTTTTAGGGTGAACCAACCAGAAAGTGGGTACGAAAATGCAAAGTACCAACATCAATGAGATAAGGTAAATAACGGTTTCGGCAATACCTTATTCTATTATCGTCAAAGTTCTTGAGAGCTCAATTTTAGCATGTTTACATTGAGTTTCAGAGCATCTATTGGCCAAATTTGAGTGTTCTAGGACTTTGTTTACCTCCTAACGATAATAGGTTAATGTATTGCCGAAGCCGACATTTCCCCTACGTTATATATTGGCCACAGCAATAAATGGAACCCTCCAGAAGAGATGGTAGACTACGCTAATGGAATTCCCAAGCACTGCTCACCAACGTTCGAAAGAAAATGGATCCGATTTACACTGCATCCTGTATCAAAATGGTCTTTATTTCGACAATCAAAACCGCACAACACACTACAGACTTTCGTTATGGCAATATTGTTGAATGACACCTTCCACGAAAACTTTCATTTCACCTGCACCACATTGATCACCCGCTGCTGGCTGCCGACGACCGTCTTCGCACAGATATCCGGACTAATCGAATGCTTCACCATGTCTCGCAGGGCGGCCGTCGTTTTGGCACGATTCTTCAGCTGATCGAAGATACGCTTCTTGCTGTCCTTGAACCGCTGGAATCGGCTTTCCCGCGTCATGATCCGTTCCTGCAGCTTCATCAATTTGTATCGCTCTTGTTCGAGCGTCTGCTTCAGATTGTGGGCATGCATCTTCTTCTCCAGCTGATTGTCGATCTTCACCCGACGCTTGTAGACATCCATAACTCGGTGTCTTAGTTCGTCCGCTCGCTGAACACGTTCTTCCAGATGATCGACCAACGCTTGTCGCCAGATGTCCTTGTCCAGTGTTTTATCCTCCTGATTGATTGTGGCTTCTTCGATGCGCTTCAGTTCTCGACTCTTCTTCTCGCACTCTTTGATGCCCTTCTGGATTTCTAATGTCTTGAGCAAACTGGACGATCGGATGTCCTTCTCAGAGATTTCGTTTTGGATTTTCTCAATCTGCTGCTGCTCCAACCGTTCCAGTCTCTGCTTGCGATTGCGAATCTCAAGTTTTTCGATGTTTCGCTTCTGTCGAATCGCTTTCTTGTAGTTACGTTCCTGTTCGTCGAGCAACGACTTGCGGTATTCCTTTTCATGTTCCCAGCATTGCTTCGCCACAACGGACTCTTCCATTCGTTCGATTTCCTTTATCCGTTTCAGAACCATGCAGTGCAGAATCCTTCGATCATGATCGGTCAGGTTCGCTCCCTTTTGATCCAACATTTCCGTTATCTTGACAGAGTGCAATCGATTGCAAATGTTGTGGTAGTCTTGGCTGTTGTCGCTGTAGCCACTGCCTTTGTACGTAGACAAATCACTCGTCGATAGACAGCGTGGAGACCTCATTGAGGCTTTCAGCAACCTTGGATTACCCGGTGTCACTTTGGAAGACATACTCGACATACTTCTCTTGCTTCGATCCGTTGAAACCGGTCGGACCTTCTTTCCGCTTTTACTCTTCTTAATTGGTTCTACCGGGCTTTCCGACATCAAATTGCTATCACTGTCGAACATATGGAGTTCTTCGAAAATTTCCTCGTCGCACCACTTTGGGGACGCATGACCGGCGCTGCATCCATGGGGCGGAGGCGAGAAGTTGTAATTGATGTTGAAATTATAATTGTAGCAGCAGCTGTAGTTCATGGATGAAGAATTTTGGCCACTGTCTCCGCTGTCGTTGGGAGTGATTGGGTCACTTTCCTCAATGCTTCCCGGGGGTGGATCACAGCCGTCGTTGTTCGTGTTACTATCGGACTGCTCGGCTGCAGTCGGCGGTGGAGCCAACGACGATTCGGGACTGAAGTCGAACGATAGAACACTGAAATCGTCCGGGTGGCAGTCGATTTTCGACGATTTAAATTTACTTTTCAGTTTATTCTTTAGTTTAAACATGTCTTTTTCGTATGCTCTGTTATTCGTGGAACCTCGCGCGTAAATATAAAACAAATCAAGCGAAAGTGTTTTACTATGCGATCGATCCAACAACGGAGCAAGCCGTTGCCAAGGGGATCCGTTTCTATCCTGCTGCCATTCAAATCGCCTGGGGTACGCGCGCTTTGCATGTGGCACGTGATTATTTCCGGCAAAGCACGAGCATGATGGGCGGTAATTGAGGAATGTGCATGCAATTGCTTTCGCGTATTTAAATAAATTGGGCAGAAAATGAATTCCGATAACGGCACGAAATTGACCAGTTCAAATGCTGATGCTCCTCATGTTCGGGTGCTTAAGGACATGATTCACAGCAATCTGTTCCCATACCGTTTGTCTCGTCATGCCGCATTTTCTCGGGCACGACACTGACGCTCTACTTAATGCAGGTAACACCAAATAGGGTTAACTACCCCATTTCCGGCCTATTAAGCACAACTCGCACTTAGTCTTTCTTAATCTAGCGCAGTTTAGCACCTAACGGAATGTTATTATTACTTATGGCTTCCAAATTTATTGACCTTTCCGTACGTACCGTAAAATTTGATAAAGAGAAACCAATCGTTGAGATATTGTCAAAAGTCTAACACTGCTTCTTGACGTAAAACTCGGCCTATGGATTCTAAACTCGGCCTAACGCATTGAAACGCCATTGAAACGCCAATAAATTCACTTCGGCCAATCGGATGAAGTTAAAAATTGATTCGGTCGGAGCGCTTATTTTGTTTTTGTGAATAATGGGTGCAAAACTTCATATCACGCGTTCCCATTGACTTCGTTCGGTAACTTTTTAACTAAAGTATCTTACCAAATGCATAATTGACTTGTTAACTCTGAAATCATGGATTTATTTCTTTATTTATTTGAAGTTTTCTGCTCGATAGGCCCAAAATTGGCGATTAGGCCGAACTAGTTCTCTACCCTATAGTTGGTCCACTCAGTTTTTCGGTAGAGGAGCAAGCAGAGTAAATTTTTTAGATTTGCATGGTTGCTGGGATGAGGTTTGAGTGTCTATGGGGCCTACTTTAATGACGTTATAAATTTTATAGCCATCCAACACTCCGAACACGATGCCTCCGGTAAAATGTGTAACGGCATTCTTGCTATGTTTGAATAATCATAGCTCAGCCATTTATTGACAAATTTTAAATGTATTAACGCCACCAGACTTTAAAGATTTATTCAGTATCAGTAGGTTCAAAATCTATTGATAAATTGCTGAGTAATTATTTTTCAAACATTGCCAAATTGCCGTTACACATCGTGTTCAGAGTGTTAAAAAACCACCCACCCTTTTCGCTCTCGCTGTTGGTCTTCCATCTCGGGGCACGTCTGCGGATCGAGATGTTTTAATGACAGGTGGGCAGGAACTCACGGTCTCCCAGTGTTGGTGAGTTCTTTGCCGTTGATGTTCACGAAAAGTTCACTATTTTGCCATATAGAAATTCAAAACAAAAATTTTTATGGGTGGATTTGGACAGTTTTTGACCTGTTTTATACGACCGGAAGGTGTATGCTGGTCACACATGCTGTGCCAAACAGATTTTCTACGCAATTAATTAATCTTTGATGTGAATTTCGCTAATAAACACGAGGTACATTTCTTATAGCAAAACTTGCCATAACAAAATGGGCATAGTTCATTTTAGTAAACAAACTAACACTTCTTCCTACTGTGTCACCTATGTATTAGGCGCTTAGTCTGCGGATCACCCAACTGACAATTTTAGCTGCAGATAAGCTTATACAGCCAAAATTTGCTTTATGCAGCTAATTTTTGCTTGCATAAGCTGGTCGGCAGTGTATGTTTTTCTCATTTACCATCACACGCCAGTGTAGATGAATTGCGGTTGTTTTGAAAATCTTCGCTGTCAACGTACGAGTGAAATGAACAAATGAACTCATTAGGTTTTGCACCGTCGGGGTTAACCCATAGAGTTAACTCCACAGAGAACAGACGTTCAAGTTCGGTCAGAAACTTGTGTAAAATAAGTGGGAACGTCGCCGTTACGTGGTGTTAGCATCTCCTGATTTTCTCTATAAATTTTCCACTTTCGACCAATTTGGCGCTAGTATCGATAAATTTTCTGTTGAAAATTGCCACTTGGCGCTACTAGCACTTAGTGTCTAGTGTAATTTGTGCAACGCCAGCGCCATCATGCTGTCAAAGAGGGTTTTTAAGTGGGGAAGTCGCCGTTAATGGCGCTTAAGTCAAATAGGAATCTTTACACAAGTTTTTAGAGAAATTTTGTTTGAGCCTCCATGTCTGTTCTCTGTGTTAACTCTAAGACCAGAAGGTCCCGAAGAAACGAGCTCAACTTTTTGGCTCAGCTCTGGTACTATCTTCGGTCCCAAGCTAATCGATTCACCCCTCGAAACATAGGAAAATCCACTAACCCTTCATTTTATCTGTCAAACTTTCAAATTCGGACAAGAATGGGATACGTTAATCGTTTGCTTGGGACCAATAGGCTAGTCAAGTAGTGAGCCAATTTCAAATCCATAGTTTCGTATTGATTGTTGGTTAACCTCAATCTGATGACAGTTCAGTGGTACTATTTACGTGGACTTAGTTGTTTTTTTTTGGATAGATTTTCTCGATAATTTTTGAGACTGCAGTGAGGTGAAAACCACATGTCTGCATTGTCCACGAGCAACATCCTTTCACCGCGCTGTTCCTCGACAATTTGCAAGTTAAAATTCGGAAATTTTAGATTCTTTTTTTCGAAAAAATGACTAACTGCTTGTAAACAGTACCACTGAACTGTCAAAAAGGTTCAGCCGATTAACACTGAGTTCATTCGTGACGTCACGCTGCTGTACCTAATTGTCCATCGACGAATGGACGAGTGCACCGATGAATTTGAGTTCAATCACTCGAGAAAAAGTAGCACAAGCTGCGGGCAATGTTTACTTATCATGAACACTAAAAGATACGCTTTAGTTTACGACCCAAAATGGTCCAAATCGGAAACGATCCTCAAAAGAAAAAAAAAATCAAATTAATTTTGCCATTAATAAATGTTTAGAATATTGCAAATCAAAGTTGGCACTCGTGGAGAATAGAAGAACTATGAGAGTGATGATGGTTTCAAAATTTTACACGGTGAGGAATACGAGCACAGAGAACAGACATGGAGGCTCGAACAAAATTTCTCTAAAAACTTGTGTAAAGATTCCTATTCGACTTAAGCGCCACTAACAGCGACTTCCCCACTTAAAAAACCTCTTTGAAAACATGATGGCGCTTGCGTTGCACAAATTACACTAGACACTAAGTGCTAGTAGCGCCAAGTGGCTATTTTCAACAGAAAATTTATCGATACTAGCGCCAAATTGGTCGAAAGTGGAAAATTTATAGAGAAAATCAGGAGATGCTAACACCACGTAACGGCGACGTTCCCACTTATTTTACACAAGTTTCTGACTGAGCTTCAACGTCTGTTCTCTGTGATACGAGTGCAATCTTAAAATGCTTTTATTTTGCAAATGGAGCATTTTATTTAAATCTTGTTAATGCTACGCTAGTAGAAAACTTAAGGACTACTTAACAGACATAAAATATAGAAAAAATAATGTCTTTTCTTATTTTTATGTGTAGACATAGATTTCAGCTTTTCTACAACTGTAGCAGCAACCAGATTTAAATAAAATGCTCCATTTGCAAAATAAAAGCATTTTAAGATTGCAGTCGTATACCTCCCCGTGGAAAATTTTGAAACCATCATCACTTTCATAGTTCTTCTATTCTCCACGAGTGCCAACTTTGATTTGCCAATTATCAATTGCAGAGCCTAAAACCACAGAGAACAGACGTTTAAGTTCGGTCAGAAACTTGTGTAAAGTTAAGTGGGAACGTCGCCGTTACGTGGTGTTAGCATCTCCTGATTTTCTTTATAAATTTTCCACTTTCGACCAATTTGGCGCTAGTATTGATAAATTTTCTGTTGAAAATTGCCCCTTGGCGCTACTAGCACTTAGTGTCTTGTGTAATTTGTGCAACGCCAGCGCCATCATGTTGTCAAAGAGGGTTTTTAAGTGGGGAAGTCGCCGTTAGTGGCGCTTAAGTTGAATAGGAATCTTTAAACAAGTTTTTAGAGAAATTTTGTTCGAGCCTCCATGTCTGTTCGGCACCAAGGTAATGCCAACAATCAATACGAAACTAACGATTTTAAATTGGCTCACCACTTTAGTAGCCTATTGGTCCCAAGCAAACGATTAACGTCCCTATTCTAGTTGAAATTCTATTACTACACTATGTTTGTTTTGATTCGCTATGAAAGTTTGACAGATAACATCAGGGGTGTGTGGAGTCATGCAGAACATGCAGGGGTGAGTGAAATAGATTGGGACTGCTTGGGACCGTTGTTCTGGTACTGAGTGAGCCAAAAATAATAATGATTTTCTTCGGTACCCAGTGGTCTTAGAGTTACCTCTATGGTGATGCTCCACACGAGAGCGGAATACAACCTGGCCGTAAATAACCTGAAGGATTCCAAAGCGGAATTCTTCACCCACGATATTCCCGGTGAGCAGCCCTTCAAGGTGGTCATCCGAGGTCTTCCGAGCTACGACCCAAAGTTCATCTCGGACCAAATCAAGGACCAGTACAAGCTGGTCCCAACTGCCGTCTACCGGATTACGCAAAGGGACGAGAACACGAAAAAGTACCGGATTGCCTTTTCCTGGTACACTTCCAGAAGGGAACAGTGACAATGGATGCGTTGAAGACTATTCGCTCCATCAACTCCATCATTGTGGGATGGGAGCCATACCGTGGCGGCCGTCACGATGTCACCCAGTGCCAGCGGCACCCGAAATTGTCACATCAAGCCACGGTGTGGCAAATGCACACAAAACCACGTTACCTCTCAGTGTGTCGTCGATGAGGCGGAAGCGATAAAATGCGCCAAGTGTGGTGGCGGTCATCGTGGGTCCTGCAGAAATGCCCAAAACGCGAG